CCCACCTACCACCAGCAGTCCGTCCGTCCCCCTCCCCGGTAAAACTTCAACGGTCAAGATGGGCACATGCCCGGAAGTAAAGGGTGCGGCTCCAAACAAAGAAAACATAATCATTGGATTGGTCACTTGTCTCACCTGGCAGGAGATCAAGTCCAAGAACTTTCACATTAGCTCTATACTCGCATGGAAGTCTCTTACTAAGAGAGGAACAGCCTTTTGACCTTTGCGGTTAGATGAACCTACCATAATGGTGAGATGTGAAGTTTTGCCAACTCCTGTTGCAAAATCTTTTCAGCTTCTGGAGCAAGAAGGTTTTTCATGATTGGTTCACTTTTTGTGCTGATGAAAATGTAGGCCCAAGCAATGTAGAAATTAGCTTACAGGTGCAATCTACAGATCTGAAACTGTGATTGTGTTTTACAGTATGCTATGCAATTACTGCTTCCTTTGCCACAAGCTCCATTTTAACAGAATCATCTTTTATAATACATTTCTTCATTGAAGCACTGGAGGTTGCAGAGCAGACAGCTAACTGATGTTTCTTTGATTGAATATGTGCAGTGATGTCAAATTTCCTGCCATGAGCAACATTTATCTCACTACCGCATTGGGTGCAAAATGTTATGTGTGGGGTGTGGTGTTTCTTTTAAAAAGGCTATTCCTTTTGCCAAGCCTAATTAAAGTGTACATTCTTTTCCTGCTCTTTGCATTCATTTGACACTAAAATAAAATTTTACAATTACATTAGTGGGTTGTGCCCCCTGCTCACAAAGCTTCCTAGTCCCCCCCCCCCCTCCTGCCGCTCTGCTTGCCAATTCCCCCCTCCAGATCTCCTCAAAACCTCAATTGTCTCTTATGTGGTCCCCAATTGAGACACCTCCCTCCCCTGGTGCTCCAGTCCCATGTGGGGGAGGGTAGGTAGGACTGAGGTTCAAGGCCTCAGGCCAGATTAACTCCTCTGGGTTCCAGGGTTAATGGATTTTGTGGGCCCCCTCTACATTATGAGGTGGGGCCAAAAATGAAGGGTTCAGTATGTGGGACAGGGCTGCCAGTGAGTGGGATAGGGACAGAGGTGCAGAATCTGGGTGGAAAGTAGGATACAGGAGCAAGCTGTGGGTAGGAGTCTGGCCAGTAGGGAGGGGGCAGGAGCAGGATGCTGGTGGGTGTCTGGCCAAGGAGCAGGGTGTGGGTGGGTGTCTGGCCTGGGGGCAGGGTGCTGGTGGGGGTTTGGCCAGGGGGCAGGAGCAGGGTACTGGTGGGGTCTGGCCAGGGCATAGGGGGCAGAAAAAAAAAATACCAGTCCTTAGAAAAATGATTGCGCATGATCCTATTAATTTGCGTGACAACGTAGCAGCAGCCCACACTGCCGAGTATGATGGCATGGCCCTCTTGGGAGAGAGCCACTGCCATGGCAGCTCTGTCAGGCATGCTCCTGGGTGGCAGGGCTAGATCCGGCGGGCGCTAGGACTCAGGGAGAAGGCCAGGCACCATGTGCACCAATGGAGAACCCCCGGCACCGGATGCAGCTGGGGGAGCTGATGCCAGCTGATAAAGTGGCCAGGATTGGGGCCAGGAAGGGGGGCAGAGCAACCTGTGGGACAGGTAGGGCCAGTGACACAATTTATTTGCATATTCATCATTTGCTTAATGAATATACAAATAAATGTTACCAGTGCTCCAAAAGCTTGTGAATGGGTTTACTGGTCCCCAGTATCAAAAAGATTGGGAACCACTGTTCTAAACCAAAAAGGGGAACACATTACCCACACCCTGAACCCATTTAGCCACACCCACCGACCACCAGAAGTTCGTCTGTCCCCCTCCCCCTGGTAGTACTTCAATGGTCAAGATGGGCACATGACCCGAAGTAAAGGGTGCGGCTTCAAACAAAGAAAACATAATCATTGGATAGGTCACATGTCTTACCTGGCAGGAGGTCAAGTTCAAGAACTTTCACATTAGCTCTATTCTTGCATGGAAGTCTCTTACTAAGAGAGGAACAGCCTTTTGACCTTTGCGGTTAGATGAACCTACCATAATGGTGAGATGTGAAGTTTTGCCAACTCCTGTTGCAAAATCTTTTCAGCTTCTGGAGCAAGAAGGTTTTTCATGATTGGTTCACTTTTTGTGCTGATGAAAATGTAGGCCCAAGCAATGTAGAAATTAGCTTACAGGTGCAATCTACAGATCTGAAACTGTGATTGTGTTTTACAGTATGCTATGCAATTACTGCTTCCTTTGCCACAAGCTCCATTTTAACAGAATCATCTTTTATAATACATTTCTTCATTGAAGCACTGGAGGTTGCAGAGCAGACAGCTAACTGATGTTTCTTTGATTGAATATGTGCAGTGATGTCAAATTTCCTGCCATGAGCAACATTTATCTCACTACCGCATTGGGTGCAAAATGTTATGTGTGGGGTGTGGTGTTTCTTTTAAAAAGGCTATTCCTTTTGCCAAGCCTAATTAAAGTGTACATTCTTTTCCTGCTCTTTGCATTCATTTGACACTAAAATAAAATTTTACAATTACATTAGTGGGTTGTGCCCCCTGCTCACTAAGCTTGCTAGTCCCCCCCACCCCTCCTGCCGCTCTGCTTGCCAATTCCCCCCTCCAGATCTCCTCAAAACCTCAATTGTCTCTTATGTGGTCCCCAATTGAGACACCTCCCTCCCCTGGTGCTCCAGTCCCATGTGGGGGAGGGTAGGTAGGACTGAGGTTCAAGGCCTCAGGCCAGATTAACTCCTCTGGGTTCCAGGGTTAATGGATTTTGTGGGCCCCCTCTACATTATGAGGTGGGGCCAAAAATGAAGGGTTCAGTATGTGGGACAGGGCTGCCAGTGAGTGGGATAGGGACAGAGGTGCAGAATCTGGGTGGAAAGTAGGATACAGGAGCAAGCTGTGGGTAGGAGTCTGGCCAGGAGGGAGGGGGCAGGAGCAGGGTGCTGGTGGGGATCTGGCCAGGAGGCAAGGTGCTGATGGATGTCTGGCCTGGGGCCAGGGTGCTGGTGGTGCTGGTGGGGGTTTGGCCAGGGGGCAGGAGCAGGGTACTGGTGGGGTCTGGCCAGGGCATAGGGGGCAGGAGCAGCTTGGCCAGTATCTGGGAGTCTCAACTGGTGCCGTCCCATGCAGCTCTGCCTTTTAAATCTGAGATCCACATGGCTTTTACTAGGTTTAAAATGCAGAGGGAATCAGCTGATTCCCGGTCCAGCTGCAGCTCTCCCCTCTAAAAACTTAGCAAAAGCCATGCTGGTTGTTTTAGATTGAAAAGGCCGAGCCGTGGGACAGGGCCAGCTGAGCTGGGAATAAGCTGATCCCAGTTTGTGCACAGCGCTAGCTCTTCCTTTTAAATTGAGTAAGAGCCATGTGGCTTTTTACAGTTAAGACAGAGCCTGCTCTGTGCACAAACTGGGATCAGCTGATTCTCAGCTCAGCTGGCCCCATCCCCCCAGCTCTGCCTTTTCAATCTAAGAAGAGCAAGTTTTGTGGAGGGGAAGGAGACCACTTACCTGCTGCTGTTTTACTGGTGGCTCCCGAAAGAACTGCCTGCTGGCCAGAGGAATCAAGCACTGCCTCTCAATGCTCCTATTGGCTGGGTTTGAAAGCAGTGGGAAAAATCTGTGAGTGGTGCCTGCACACCTGGGACGAGGAGGGGTTGGGGAAACAGAAGCATTCAGCCCTTTCTAGCTGTGCTGCTGTTTCCGGGACATCTTTAGTGTTTTTCAGGGCACTGGGATGAGAAACAGAGATTGAAATCCAGGACTGTCCCAGATTTTTGGGGCTGTATGGTCACCATACCCATCTGTCCTTTCCATCCCTCACTTGCTGCCCCCTCCCTGTCCTTTCATGCCCTGCAGCCCCCCAGCCGCCCCTGTGCTGCCAGGTCCCAGGAGAGGGGAGAGTCCTCTGGCTGTATTCTTTTGTGTGCGGGTGTGGGGGAAGGGTCAATTTGTCACCTTCCCAGTGTGAGAGAAGTGTAGGGGAGGTATTCACCACTGACAGCTCTGTGTGCACGAAGCTGGTCAAGGCACCATTGTGCAAAAAGCTGGGGTCCCAAAGTGTGTTCTGTGCTGCTGGCAGTTTCTGCATCTCTTAGCCCCATGTTCCCAGTGTAGCATTTCCTGTCTGCACTGCAGTTTTTCGTGCTGTTTGTACTTGCATTTCCTGTGGCATTTTATTCTTTTGGATCCCCTGGTATCAAGGTAGCAGATTTCCTGGATTGGTGTCAGAACTCTTACACCTAAACCTGTATTCAGGCAGGTGAAGTTGCAGCTTTTTTTTAAATAAAAAACACTGGGCATTGAGAACTGAACCCCATTGTTGCAGATGCAATAATGTTGAAACTCAAGCCAGTGAGAGAAATTAATATGGATTTGGGGTCTCACTGGTGTGTGTTGTTTATGTAATATTGAGACTCAAGAATTTGCCCAAATGGCTGTCCAGCATGTGCATCATCTGTCACAGAGTCTAGGTAGAATGGGAGTGTGGAAAGGGTTAAAAAAACCCCTTCTGAAATGTCTCCAATCCCCCTTCTCCCACTGCAGGCTGCAGAACACCCATGTCTTGCTCCAGTTCAGCCCATGGCCTACAGAGCCAGGAACAGGAAATGGCTGTGGCGGAGCCGGTGACTTTCAAGGAGGTGGCTGTGTATTTCTCTGTGGAGGAATGGGCTCTGCTAGACCCAGGCCAGAGAGCCCTCTACCGGGATGTGATGCAGGAGAATTACGAGGCTGTGAGTTGGCTGGGTAAGGATTCCTGTCCCTTTGGATATCAGGGTCTGGGTGGGCTCTGGAGTGGCTGGGTTGGGTTTGGTTCAGGGTCCCTCACACCTGATCTTGCGGGGTAGAGGGCACTATCAGCCCCAGTAATATGGCTCCTGTGTGAGAGACTGTCCCCTCCCCACCCCATCCCTAGAGACTGTCCCTTCCATACCCTTTCCCAGGGAAGCAAGTTCAGGAACATAACAGTGGTGCTGCTCTTCTCACAGCCAAGGTCTCAATGTGCTTCCACACCATCTTGCCCATGTTGTGCCTTGGCCCGAAGTGTGAGTGGAAGGGCCCAGACAGGAACGGCAGATACCAGAGGTCTGGGTCCAGCTGCTGTTAGTGCCTGCAGGGTCCCCTTTGTGCCAGTGGGTTGAGTCCCTGGAAGGGGGAAGGGGGTGTAGTCTTAGAGACCTTTCCTGCCTCTGGTAGATTCTGTGCAGCCCAGAGGGGGCACCAAATGTCAGTCCAGACTGGCCACAAGAGGGAGGCTGGGAAACCACACAGAATCTGCTGCTGGTGGCAGAGTAGAACTGAGGCTGCAGAGGGGGAGCTGATCTGCAACAAAACCCACAAGCAACAGAGAAGCAGCACAGCCCGTTTCTGCCCTGGCTGGCCGTGAGAGTGGCAGGTGTTGTGGGCATCTGGCAGGGCCCACCCAGCCAGGCAGTTGAGACCAGGAGTGTGGAGCATGGGCACAGCCTGAAGCAGCCAACCAAGGGATCATTTTGTCCTCCAACAACTTCCTCTGCCTCCTTCTGGAGCAAGTAGAGCATCTGAGCCAAAGAGCAAGGCGAGCCAAGCCCCCCAGCCAGGAGTTTTGGGCACAGAGTTCTTGGGGCTCCAGAGCTCTTCTGAGTCCTTTCTCTCCAAGCCCTAGTGACCCGCCATGTGGCAATTGCAGTCTTAACCCTGCCTATAGTGTCAGCCCTGTAAGCCCTCACTAGAGCTCCCCTTCTGAGCAGTGTGTTCCTGTCCTTCCCTTGGATGGGGGAATGGAACAGGCCATGAGGGAAAATTAGTTGTACCTTAGAGATAGCTCAGCAGATAACTCAGCTCCTCTGGGGAATCAGCTGGGCCATTCCTGAGGCAGGGGGGATGCACCTTTATTGCAGGTGAGTGTGTCCTTGGATCTTCTGCCAGCCAGAGCCTAGTCTGTGCAAGGTGGGGAAGGAGCCTCTCTGGGTGGGCAACTCAGATCCTGGCTCTGGAAGCAGTAATGGCACAAACCTCAATGAACAAGATCCCCACTTAGTTAATTGCACCCCTGAACAGGATTTCCTGTCTCCACAGCGAATGTGATCTCCTGGGTGGAGCGAGGGGAAGACCTGTGGGTCTTGGATCTCCAGGGCTGTAAGGAAGGGGAGATCATCAGAGACACCCACACAGGTGAGCATTCAGCTAAATTGACTCAGAAACCCATTTTTGTGTCCTCATAGCAGGTGTCACTTGTGCATTTTCATCAAGTCTAACTGCCCCTTCAGCCTGTCTGAGGGTGCTGGGTGGGGGAAAAGATTATAGAGAAGGAGGGTGAACTCAGCTCATGATTATTCAATATTTCAAGCCATTCTTTAGGTATGTTCCCTTTTTCTATTTCTCTGTTAGTTTCCTTTCAGCTCAGCACAGGGAATAACTCCTGTCTGGATTCTCTCTCTCTGTCTCAGCAGGTGATGGGATGCTGAGTGAGAACCATGAGAAGAGTCTTCAGCAGGAGATTATAGAGAAGGAGGGTGAACTCAGCTCATGATTATTCAATATTTCAAGCCATTCTTTAGGTATGTTCCCTTTTTCTATTTCTCTGTTAGTTTCCTTTCAGCTCAGCACAGGGAATAACTCCTGTCTGGATTCTCTCTCTCTGTCTCAGCAGGTGATGGGATGCTGAGTGAGAACCATGAGAAGAGTCTTCAGCAGG